GGGTCCTAAGCAGTGTACGCCCACATGGGACTATCTCCTGAACTGAAGTTCGGGCGGCTGAATAATGCAAGACAAGGAAATCACCGGGAAATCAGCTCCAGCACAAGAAGACAATTATACAAGTTGTCCTTGACAATTTTCAACGAACAAGATCAATCCATCCTAACCAACGGATGAGATTTTTTTTTAAACCCGGTAGGTCAACCACCAAAATCAGTGGGGTAGAAGCCGGGGAACATCTACCAGGTTTTATAAAGATAAGAAAGAGAATACAAATGAAAGGGGGACTAGGCCAAAACCTTTCCAGGGAAAACATCCTTCCCGAAAGTACATGAGAAACAAAAAGTTACATACTAATGGGGGCTAGAACCAACGGATGAGATTAATCAACTGGAGTAGCCTATAAATATAGGCTGAAACAAAAGTTTCTAACCAAGCCTTGAGCATCCAAAAAGAGAAATTCTTTCACGAGCATTCACGAGCTATATAGCAAAAGAGAAAGTGCTATTCTAAACTTTACTCTCTGCTTGGACTCATGCTTCACTAAACTTCAAGTTTACAAGCTATTCATTGCTAAATCATAGAAGTTTAGTTCCTAGTTGGAGGTTAGAATCCTAAAGATTGAAGTTTGCCGGCAGAATCCTAAGCAGTTGTCTTAACTGACTCAACTGCTTATCCTACTTCTTAATTACTTACTTTCTTTGAGATCATTATCATACAAGAGAAGTGCAACAATATCACCAAAAGGCCTATTCTAATATTTCCAAGAAACTCATAGTAGGTGCCTCAGCAGTCCCCTGGAATCCACCCAACTGCTGAGCTCTCTGCCCATATACACTTGTTTCTCTCAAGCATCTCAATATCACCAGATCTTCATATAATCACCAACCAAGAGGTTGACCAAACTGCTCTCAGAAATTCACCCTCTAAACCAAGCAGGTACCTCAGCAGTGCCCTCATCACCACCCAACTGCTGAGACCACTGCTTTAGTAAAACTCCTGATTACTGTTACTGAAACACATTTTCTGAAAGCCCTCATTATTCTCAGTAACATTTCATTTTCACCCTCATCAAACACCCAATATTTTCTCAGCAGTTGACTTAGCAGTTCCCTGCTATCTAGCCAACTGCCAAGCCAACTGCCAGATATTTGGGTTCAATCTTTCACCTAGATAGAAAGTATTCATACACTGATTCCATATAGGGTAAAGACTTCCGCTGTGCGTCTATAATTCTCTCAAAAGATTAGAGATCAACTTTTCAGAGGGAGAAAGGCTTTAAAGCCGAAAAAGATTTAAAAGTCTATTCACCTCTCCTCTAGACTTTTACCCTATCCGGGACCATCAGCTACCGATCATCGTCAGCACTTGGCCTATCCTCTGCCATGGTCATAGCAGCTACTTGCCGCCAGCATCCTACGGTCGCCGTCATCAGAAGGAAAGGCGGAGTCTCTGCTGCCGGCCAGAGGGGGGTCGCAGGCTTCGAGCACCACACCTTGGTCTGTCCTCTGCCATGGTCATCTCCAGCTCAAGGGGTCATAAAGCTTTGGTAGCTCTCGCCGCCGGAGAGAGAGAGCAACCGCAAAACCTTGGCCTAAGCACTGAGAGTGACCTGGATGCGGTCAAGATCATTATCGGCCGGTGAAGTTGTCCAGAGGCCCTCATTTCACTACAACTGGCCGTGGTTTTGAGATTCAGGCGTGGAGCGTTGACAGAGGCCGGTGGGGCGGAGGAGAAATGGAGCTTCGACCTTCGGGAGACAGCTGCGACTTAAGTCTGGGACCTCGGCCTGTGTCGTTCCAGGCGCGGTGGCGGAGCAAGGCAGGAGGCCGTGAAACAAGAGGCGGAGGTTTCTGGCTGACAGCACCTACTGCCGGAAACAGAGGGTGCTAACGTGATGACCATGAATAGCCTGGTCTTCTGAATGTCTTCCGTCAACTTTCATATCTCAAAATTTCTTCTTTGATTTTCAGAACAGTTTTTTTTGCTTATTTCTTTTTATTTTGGATGAATTTTTTGGATATTTTGGGAGGAATCTAACTTGATTTTGCTCAAAAACTCTCAACGAGAGCACCATTGATGGATTATAGGTATCCAAACTATATAATAAATGGAGAGTTGAGCTCAAGAATGGGGAAGAAGATGAAGTGTATTGGAAGTATAATATTGATTCTAGGGTTACAAGTCTCCCAAAGGGAGTATAAATAGACAAATAATGGGTCGGGTCGCTAATATGAGCCCGATAGGCCCAATTACATAAAAGGCTAAACTAGTACATACAAATGATATATGAACTCTACAATAATACAAATGATATAAATGGCGTCCAATAAGCATGTGTGGGCCGCTGTCCAGTCCCAATAGTCATGAGACCCGGGGGTCCGAGTCTATATACTCCATCAGACCATTTTGGCTGCTTTCCAATGGTCCATTCCCGAATTGCTCAAATATCTGCCTAACATCCCAACAATGTATGCCAAATCAGGTCTTGTACAAACCTGGGCATACATCAAACTTCCTATAGCCGAAGCATAAGGAATGTTCCTCATTTCTTTAGATTCAAAACCATTCTTAGGGCACTGCATGAGACTAAACTTGTGTCCTTTAGAAACTGGTGTATCTCCTGTTTTGCAGTCTTGCATACCAAACCTTTTGAGAACCTTATCGATATAGCTCTTTTATGAGAGTCCAAGAACGCCTTTGGAGTGATCTCGGTGAATTTCAATTCCTAATACAAAAGAAGCTTCACCAAGATCTTTCATTTCAAAATTCTTTGAAAGAAATCTCTTAGTTTCGTGCAATAAGCCTATATCATTACTAGCAAGCAGTATGTCATCAACATACAAGACCATGAAAATATGCTTACTCCCACTGAACTTGTGGTATATACAATCATCACTGACGTTTGGTTGAAAACCAAAAGATATAATGACTTTATGAAACTTGTGATACCACTGACGAGAAGCCTGTTTGAGCCCATAGATGAATTTCTTTAATTTGCAAACCATTTTCTTTGAATCTCCTAAAACAAAGTTTTCTGGTTGCTCCATATAGATTGATTCCTCAATGTCACCATTGAGAAATGCAGTTTTTACATCCATATGATGAAGCTCAAGATCAAAATGTGCCACTAATGCCATTATTGTTCTAAACGAGTCTTTCGAGGATACCAGAGAGAAAGTCTCTTTATAGTTGATTCCTTTCTTTTGAGTGTAGTCTTTAGCAACAAGACAAGATTTAAACCTTGTAACATTGCCCTTTGAATCCCTCTTGATTTTAAATATCCATTTACAACCAATGGGTTTAATACCTTCGGGCAACGAGACTAGCTCCCAAACGTCATTGTCAGTCATAGACTTCATCTCATCTTTCATGGCATTAATCCATTCTTGAGAGTTAGAACTTTCCATGGCTTGACGGAAGTTGATTGGATCATCTTCCGCAAAACCAACATCCGATTCTTGTTCTTGGAGGAAGACAATTATTTCTTTCACCAATTCACAATTTTCCTCATGTTCTTGGAGAAATACAATATAATCATCCGGAATTACACTTCTCCTCTCTCGAGTGGATCTCCTTAATGGCACCTCAGGTTCTTGAGGTTGTTGAGTTTGATCCTCATTAATAACTTCAGGTACTTGATTGGGGATGTTTTCGAGATTGTCATGAACTGGAGTTGTTTCTTGAACATCATTAGGAATAAAAAATATCTTGATTATGTTCAATGACAACTGAAGAAAGAGTAACATGCTCTTCCTCAAAGACAAAATCTCTAACCTTATCTCCCCACCCCCAAACTCAATATCCTCAAAGAACCGGGCATTACCTGTCTCAAAAATAGTCCTGGTAGTGGGATCATAAAACTTATACCCCCTTGATCTCTCAGAGTATCCTATAAAATAGCTTCTAACTGTTCTTGAGTCTAGATTCTTTTCATTTGGCCTATAAGTCCTTGCCTCAGCTGGACAACCCCAAACATGGAAATGATTTATACTGGGTTTCTTTCCAATCCAAATTTTATAAGGGGTTTTAGTTGTAGCTTTAGTGGGAACTCTGATAAGTATGTAAGCTGCATTTTTCAGTGCCTCTCCCCAGAGGGAATCTAGTAAAGTAGTGTGAAAAATCATACTCCTAACCATGTCCTTCAATGTACGGTTTCGTCTCTCAGCAACACCATTCATGCTAGGAGTTCCTGGCATGGTGTACTGAGGAACAATTCTACACTCCTCTAGGAATTTAGCAAATGGATCTGGACGTTGTTCATCGGAACCATCATATCTACCATATTATTCACCACCACGGTCAGATCTAACGGTTTTTATTCTTTTGCCTAATTGATTTTCAACTTCGGCCTTATAAGATTTGAACACGTCTATTGATTGGGACTTTTCATGAATGAGATAAAGGTAACCATAACGAGAGTAATCATCTATGAATGTGATAAAATATGTTTGACCATTTCTACATGGTGTAGGAAATGGTCCACAAATGTCTATATATCAATTCTAATAGATCTGAAGCTCTCTCGGCACCTAATCTCCGTTTGTTCGTTTGTTTTCCCTTAATGCACTCAACACAAATATCCAAATTTGAGGAGTCAAGGGAATAAATAATTCCATCTGACACAAGTCTGTGAATTCTTTCTTTAGAAATATGTCCTAGACGCTTGTGCCAAAGTGAAAACGAATTCTCATTGGTTAATTTTCTTTTAGTACCACGCGTACTTACATGCAAGGTTTCATTATATGAGGTATTTATATCAAGTGAATATAGATGATCATAAACTGATAAAAGACCAGTACCAATAAGTTTTGAATCTTGAAATAGACTGAACTCAATATGTCCAAATGAACAAGAATAACCAAATTTGTCCAATGCATAAATATAAAATTAAATTCTGCCTAAATGACGGCACAACAAATGTCTCTTTCAAATCCAAATAAAAACCAGTCTTTAATAATAATCTAAAAACGCCGATAGCCTCAACTTCAACCCGCTTGCCATCACCGACATAGATGTATCTTTCACCATCAATTGGTTTTCGGTAGCTCAGGCAACCCTGCATAGATACATTTATGTGACTAGTAGCACCAGAATCTACCCACCAAGTGTCTTTTGATACCGAAATTAAATTAACCTCAGAACAAACAAGAGCAAGAGATATACCCTTTTTCGCACGCCAGGCGTGGTACTTAGTGCAGTTCTTTTTCTTGTGATTAGTCCCTTTACAAAAGAAGCATCCAGATTCCTTAGTTTCTTCCTTAGTTTCATTATGATGCTTCCTGGGAGGCCCTGAATTTGCAGCTTCCTTAATTTTCCTTTTCTTGCTGCCCTTAGAGGTAGATGCCAAATGAGCACTTTCTGTCTTATCTTGCTTTATTCTCTCTTCCTCTTGAACACAATGAGAAATGAGCTCATTGAGAGACCATTTCTCCTTAATGGAGTTGTAACTGACTTTAAATTGATTAAATTGAGAAGGAAAAGAGATGAAAACAAAATACACAAGCAATTCCTCAAGTAAAATAAGCTTTAGTGCACTTAGTTTTGAAGCAATGTGAGACATTTCCAAAATGTACTCCCTTATATTCCCTTTGCCTTTGTACTTCATGGAAACAAGAGTGCTGAAAAGAGTACTAGTTCCGCCTTTTTCGTTTTTAGCAAAACGCTTTTCAAGTTCGGCAAGGAACGATTTGGCATCAGCCTCATCAGATATCGTGCCCCTGAATGATTCTGGAATTGCACGTTTCATGATCATTGGTCTCATGTGGTTTGAGCGTTCCCACCTCTCCATCTCCCTCTTTTCATCAAGGGTAGATGTGTCCTTAAGAGCGGCGGGTTTCTCAGTCCGAAATGCAAGGTCTAGATCCATGCAACCGAGAACGATCATAACGTTCTCTTTCCATTCCTTAAAATTTGTGTCGTTAAGCACTGGGATGCTATTAATATTAGCAGATATTGTAGCAGCAGAATTGTTGACTGAAAGAGAACAAAAAATTATATAAATGACATGCTCTAGGAACTGAAATTAATTTGATAATTCATTTTAAATTTAAATATTAGCAATCCCCATCACAAGATATCTAGCGCAACATCTAATCTTGTCTTTGGACATAAATTAGACTTGCAAGTGATACTCTTGGTGTGATAATAAAATTTTGATAATAAAATCATGTCAAATATTAAGCCTTTCTTTGGACCGACTTAATATTCACACGAAAAACTTCATAATCATCACAAATTTTATTATCACAAATGTACTTAAATTTCGGCCAAATAATAACCTTCCTTTGGGCCGATTATTATCCGCATGAAGTAAGAAAGTACATAATCATCTTAATACATGAGTTAATTAATTTCAACAAGAGAGACTACTTTGGCAGCATGTTGTGTCAATTAACTAACCCAAATATTAGACATGCTAATATTAAATCAAAAAATCTAAAAAATAAAATTGGGCGAATTTTTCTGAATCACATGCAAATGTGTTATGTATAAAGATAATTTGTAAAACCTGTACCCAATCGTTGTGCCATCGCAAAATAGTGTTTATACATTCATAACACATAATACATTTTTTTTCAAGCAAAATAATCCATTCCAGTAATATCCATATTATGTATTTCTAATAGAACTGAAGTTGACCATAATTACATACAAGTATTGAATTACCAAAACCGATAATGACAAATATGTACTTAATTACCAAAACCATAAAACATTTCCAAAATTGAATCGCCGAAAAAGGAAAATATCAAAATTCAATTTGATACACATATGATTCTGTAGACTGAAAATATTGGTTTCGAGTGAAGAACAAAATCACATACGATAATTCCTTAAACAATAAAGGAATTCAAACCGCGATTTAGTATCACCGCTTACTGATATTTCAATCCAAGAGAATAAAATATTGTTCCTCTTATTAACCTTTGAAACGATCTTCAAGAAATCAATCGAATGATTGACTTAACAAATAATTAAATATAAAGAAAGAAAGAAAAGAATGCAGTAGTGCATCACTTCAAAATTTAGCAACATCGATCAAAAGAGGGAAAAATTGTCAACTGCAGTTTATTTGCCGGTTAGTGCCTCACATCAAGGTTTAAAACACAAAATACAAATTCCCAATGGATTCAATCGCTAAAAACGAAACCCCAATTAAAACACAAAAATAAAATAGCATCGCAAATAAAATTGATTATATGATAAAAAAAATTAATTAAATTGATTCGACAGAATTGCATAAGTGCAAAATCGCATTACCCTAATTTCACTTCATCTGCAGATTATATGATAAAAAAAATATCCAAAATTCAATCGTATAAGATTGAAACAAAAGTATGAATACTCCAAATAATTCAATATGAAGGAGACTCTGATACCAATTGTTCGAATAAATCCGATAATAATTTAATCTTCATATTGAAATTATCTAGAGAATTAACTGAGCGGAAGCGTACCTGACTCCATTGGAGACGACCTTTAGAGATCCGGGAGACGGAGGCTAGGATTTGCGTCTTCTAGTTGATACACACCCTCGGGATTATCTCTCTAGCGATGGGATGCAGAAAGACAGAATGGCGTATTCAACTAGGGACCATAACCCCTTATTTATAGAGAATGCTTCCCATCATTGATTAGGTCAAGCCCATGGGTCTCTACACATTTGGGCCATATACCTTATTAGATAACTTATTAGCCCAATTAAATTAATATTCATAGGACCATTAATTTTTGGACCTAAATATAAGATAGCATATAACATACAATTAAACTTAATAAATAATAATATTGTGAATATTACATCTAGTATAAGTCCAATAATCTAACACAAACGAAGTGACTCGTCGCGGTCCTCTGCTTCCGTTTAACTTGTCCGTCTCTCCTGACTTCTTCCCTGCGTCAATCAAACGAAGGAGATGACTGGCAGCTCATCAACTACGTACGTAATACGTATACATTCTTTTGTTTTTGTTTTTGTTGGGCTGCATGGTTCGGTGATTAAAGATTTAAAACAAGTGGGTTAGTAGTTTGATTAAGCTTTGGACTACCAATGATAAATTAACCTAGGCCATTTGAATATAACTGAACTGGACAGAATATTAGTAATAGTAAATCAGTGATAATAAGGATGTTTTTACTTGGACTGTAATTTGCTGGTCTGGTTTGGTCTGGTCTGGTCTGAACTGGTCTGGTCTGGTCTTATCTGGTCTGGTTTCTTTGTATTTTTATAACTATCCAAGTCTGGTCTGGTCTGGTCTGAACTGGTCTGGTCTGGCCTGGTCTGGTCTGATCTGGTCTGGGACGAATTACAGTCCAAGTAAAAACATCCTAACTTCAATAAAATGGAACTTGGGAATATTAAGAGCTAGACTTATATAAAATAAAATGGGAAAAATTGGATAAATTATTAATTATGGAATAAGTGACTAATTAAATCATCTTAATTAAAAAGGTGATTGTCTAGTGACCGGAATCGAGAGAGAGAATTGGAGCATTTGGAGATTAAGGTAAGTTTCACGTCAACAGAAATTAGTTCTTTTTGCTTCGTGATTTCTTTGAATATTTTTGTGTGCATATTTGAGCATTGAATTTATGTGTGCTGAATTTGATTTAATGTTATTATATGAAAGGGTTGTATTTGAGATATTAGTTGATATATTGGTTTGTTAATATGAGTTATTGTATACGATTTTGAGAGATCTTGTAATAGTACGTAATTTATTATCTTTGTGGAAGTATTGACGAAACGGGAATTTTTGAAGTAGAAACTTCGATTGATTTTGAGAAAACAAAGAAAAATGAATATTTTCATAAAGGGTGAGCATTATGGGAGAAATCCGTGGTGTCGGTTTTCCACGTCCCTTAAAATGTGGAGGGTGATTAGGTCTACCACTACTCAATTTTGTTGGTTTTGGTTTGAGGTGAATTGACGGTTGGTAGAAAACATCTCGGCTTTTGAGTAGTAGTGGTAGTAGTAGCTCCTAATTATTCAGTTTTTGAGGTGGGGTAGTTGGTAGAAAACATCCCGACTATCCGGATTGACTTACTAACCCGGAGGGCTTGGAATACCTTTGAGGGGTGCACACACTTAAAGTAGTTGTTTCTGTTTCCATTGAGCAGTTGTGGTACCGGCGATAGTCCCGAGGTGGCCGTACATAACAACGGACCACCGGGCTCAACCAAAGTGTTGAGCACCGCCCTTCTAAATTACTAGAAAGTTAGTTAAAAGGTGATTTTTGGGAGAAACTCAAGAGAGGTGAATTTTGGTGATTTATGAATTTTGGAATTATTATGGTTTATGAGTTATGTGATTGGAACGTTGTATAAATATCATTTTACGTATGATTTATAAAGTGTTTTGAAAATAATTTATGCTAGTATGTTTGTTGTTTTTATTTTTTATTTTTAAAAAGGTTAGGTGAAACTTATTTAGCATTATTGCTAATGTTGTTTCTTTTATTTTTCTTTCTGTACTTTATTTTGTACAGGTGGTGATTTGATCATGTCGAAGTAGGGATGGACTCAAGTCCGGGCCGGGTCCGGGTCGGGCCTAGGACCAGGCGGGCCGGCGGTTCAAAAATGGTGGAACCGAGTACGGCCCGGGTAACCACCGGGTCGGTCCGGGTCCGGGCCGGGCCCATTATCATTTTTTTTTGTTTTCCTCTTCATAATTAACCCCCCTCCCACCCCCAACCCCCCAAACCACCCCAAATGGCCCAAAATACCCAGCCCAGCCCGAAAATTTAAAAAAAAAATTGAAAAAAAATAGGTTTTGGCCCGAACCGGGCCCGGCCGGGTCGGGCCTTGTTTTGGGTGACCCGAGCCCGGACCGGAAAACCCACGGGCCGGGCCTACCCGGACCGGTCACTGACCGGGCCACCGGGTCGGGCCGGGCCGGAACAGTACCGGTCCCGGGCCGGTTCCGAGTCGGGCCACCCGGCCCGAGTCCATCCCTATGTCGAAGTTGATTTCGAGAGCGCATCTGCTAGAAAACATATTGTAGTAATCATTGTATTTTATTTTTAAAACGATAATTTGAGTTAAGTTATTTTAGCATGTGCACTCGGTTAGGGTACCGAGTGTGGCGGTAACGCCCCTATTTCCCTCTGAATTTTTCGCTGCACGTTCTGATGTTTTCAAAAAAAAGTTCAATATTCTTTTGAATCAATTATTATTTAAATGTATTTTTGGGTGGAAATTTAAGGGGTGTTACAAGGAGAGGTAAGTAGGTAAGTAGGGTGGAGAAGGGGGTGAGTGGTGAACTTTGGCGACGAGCTGCTGGTGTGAAATCAGATCGAAGAAGTCCAATGAGATTGAAGAAGCGAGATGTGAAGTCATGTGCGAAATTTGGTGCGAAAACGTTTGCGAAGTCCTGTGCGAAGGTCTGGTGCGAAGCTGTTGAGAAGGTAAGAAGCACAGAAAGCCTAAAAAAAGCCCGACCGTACTGTGTGCGCGGTTCGAGAAAGGTTAGGACGCGGCTCAATTTGGAAGAAGATGATGATGACGAGTCGAATGAAACTAATCTAGATTAGGCGGAAAAGAAGACAATCGAGAAATTGAAAGAAAAAAATTGCTCAAAAAACTACAAGTGACCAATCTGGATCGGTCCGCTTGGCAAACTAGTGGTGCAAGATCCTAATAGTCATGAGTTCATGACTCATGAAACAAAGGACATAAAGAGAAACAAGATAGATGCTCGAGGAGGGATAAAAGCTTGGAGAAGAGAAAAGAATAAAAAATGTGAATTCATATTGGTTGCCAGTTTTTCTTTTGCAATCTGACATATCAGATTTTTTTTTTATCATTCACTATTCTAGATGTAATTCACATTTTATTTTTGGTTAGTTTAATTTTTCAATGGAACATGAGGGGGTGTAGGTCTATGGTAGGGATTGGTAGGTTTGTGAAGATAAGTTTCAGTGGGGATATGGGAGCCGATTATTACTTAAAAGGTTTCACTTGGTTTAGGAAAGAGTCCCCTATTCTAAGGGAAATCTTTATTTTGTCTAATCAAGAAGGGAATAGATCTCTGGATTACGAACATAGCAAGGGAGTGTAGTAAGTTTGGATCTGGCATATGTTTTAGAGTTAATTATCAAAATAGGACTAAAAGTCATTCACTTTTCACAAATAGGACCAAAAAATAAACTATGTTTGCATAGGACTAATTATGTGTACCTTGGACAATTATACCCTTATAGCTATTAAAATGTTTTAATTCCTAATAAAATAATAAAAAATAATAAAAATTCGTAAAAAATACTAAAAAATTAAGAAAAACATTTCGATATTAAAAAATTAAATAATTTTTTTTTTCAAAAAATTAAAAAAATTAAAAAAAAAAACTCAAAAAAAAAAATCGGCACCGCCTCAGCACCACCACCTCCAGTCACCAGGGGAAAAAAATGCCAAGTTCATTACGAATGACATATTTATGGCAGAAAAAAATGAAAATGTTGGCATTCGAAAAGAGAAATATGCCACTTTTTTGGCATTTTCAGAAAAAAATGGATGGTTTCTGGGAAAATGGCATTTTTTTCATCGGCCAGAGGTGGTGGTGCTGGGAGGTAGTACAGGCGGTGGGAAAGGCATCCATATTTTTTTAAATTTTTTTTACGGTGTTTTACTATTTTTTATTAATTTTTTTAAAAATAAAATTATTTAAAAAAAAAGGTTTTGGAATTTTTTATTTTATAAAAATTTTATAAATTTTTTAATTATATTTCTACGAATTTTTGAATTTTTTTCGAATTTATTATGAATTAAACATTTAATTATGGCTTTTGACTATTTTTAATTCATATTTAATGGAAGGGTAAGAATGGAATGAAAAAATAGGTATGTTTCCAATAGGACTCATATGGTCCTATTTTGGAATAAAAACATAGAAAGTCCTATTTTAGGTTTTTGCCATAGTTTTAGTCCTATTTGAACTAATTTCTATATGTTTTAAGATCAATTTGATATCAATATAAGCGATGTATATTTAAAAAAGATTTATGACAAGTCGGAAAAGAATCATAATATGGAACAAAATCCATGTGAGAAAAGAATCAAGTGCTAGAAACCAAACAAATTCAGAATCAATGTGATTATGTAGGTTGGGGCTTCGAAATGCCGTAATCAGTTGCATACATCATCGTCCTAATAAAGAAAACAAAGACCATCTTCTAAAGTGATAGAAAATATGCATCCAACATCAAGCTATCCACAAAGCATTCCAATATTTGGTGTTGCGGTCATGCACTATACAAGAACACTTCCACAGTTTCACTTGGTAGTCAAATTATGTGTATATCGAATTCAGTTTTAAGCTGGCCGACCTATATTTGCAAATCTTGGAGATAGACGGAAAAATCATGACGATGCGCTAGCCAGATTTCCCCGAAAGTACCATTTGAGGATGTCAAACTGCCGAACCCTCCAGAGAAATACTACAGCAGATAAACAATTTCAAAACATAAATAGCACATACAATTGAGGATGTCTAACTACAACATGTCACCAGGAGCTTAGTCCATCAGAATTTGTTGTTGTTCAAGTTCGATGATGTTCTCCGCCAGGGAGTTAAGGGCCCCACCATTCACCGTTTCATTGTTACCCCTGCTGCATTGCTCCAGTCGTTCTCTCAGACTTCGCACAACTTCGCTCAGTCTCTGTATGTTCTTTTCCTGTGACAAAATAATCTGCAAGATATATATGATGGAAATACATCAAGAGTGGTAAAGACCTGTTGTGTGAAATATACTCCTTTGTCCAAGAAATAAGATTCAGTTACTGTTTATAGTGTTTGATTCCTGATAAAGTTAACACTCAAATTAGTACTAATAATAAAAACTTACATGATAACTATACTAAAAGTTCTGTTGAACATCAAAAGCCATATTCGAATATGATAAAATTTTGGTACATAAGAGCAAGATAGGTTGACACTTGATAGCAATATTAGTAAACTGGAACTTGATTTTGAGAGGGAGGTAGCATATTAGAGGATACCGATGTGGGGAACTAACGAACCGGGCATTGATGAATGATGAATGGAGTCTTACATCAACCTCGAGGCTATTGAGGCCTAGTGGGACATGACGAAAATATGAAAATGATTTGCACAGTTAGAAAGGTTGTGCACTACTTGTGCTAACCATCAACTCTCGCGGGGGCACAACTTTTAGTAAAGACTACACTTGAATGCAGAAGAGTGAAAACTAAAGACCAACCTTCCTCCACAACCTTGTAAACTATTTTACCATGACTATAGAGGGTTGAAGTAAACTATAAGAAAAAAGTGCGACGGCTAAAGTATTTATTGTGTGGAGTGCCATCCGAGTAAGAAAAAAATGTCACCCTACTAGTGATGAAGGACAAAGTATGAAGATGCAAACTCTGACTGATATACTGAATTATTAATACTACGTATAAAGTAAAATGATTAAAAAAGACCTTCTCTTTTACAGCTTCTTCTCTCTGAGAGATTTGCTTCTGCTTCTGTGATAAGCTGGGACTTGGTTCAACATCACTCGCTAGTTGTTGTTTCCATTCAAACTGAGACGTGATTATGAGTATCATTAACAAAAATACAAGCAGCATTGATCTTGACATCATCCTGATCTTCTCCACTTACACACCTAACAAAAAAGAACCAAACACAAAACAAGTACAATTTCACTATCCAGAAATATCATACCTAGCTCTAAAATAACAAGTACAACTACTTAACAAATGATGAAACAACCAAACTCCTTGGAGCGTTAGATTTGAGAAAATTGAGATTCATATAGTAATCATAGAAAACAAGAAGCAAAGAGGTAGTGATTTTGTAAATTAACTCAGAAGATTCAAAATTTTCAAGCAGTATATAACAGAACATACTATATACTCCGTATTAAATAAAAATGAGGGAATGCATTACATCTTCAGAAGTAACTTTTATCACAGATCAAAACCCTAACATAAAAACAACATCATTAAACTACAAACTCATGATACAGCAGAATATAGGTCAAAGAATTAAAAAGAGAGACCTTTAAACTTTACTCTCTATGAAACCCTAAATTAAAGGAAACGGGATGAGCAAATTGCTTAACTAGTACTCCCATCGGAAGAAAACAAATCTTTCAAATCAAACGCATGAAAAAACACCGGAATTCCTAAGACTTCTGAGCTTTAAATAAGACGGTCGTTATATTTGTTCCCAGTTCCATTGCATCTTCAGACCCAAAATAGATACAAAGAAACAACTTACTGATGGGAGAGGATGGGAAGGGAATCTAACACCGCGGCCCTCGTGCGAAATGAAGACAGTCGATTGAAGCAAGAGCTGCAGAAACTTTCTGATCATGAGGAGTATTTCGCATTTAATCCTTTGGGCCTGTCCTTCTCCATTTCTGCTTCGGATAAAATATAAACATTTTCTTATTTCTGAGGGTTGTCGTACGGATGAATTGATGCTGGATTAGAACATTCTTTGTTTGGTTTCATTTTTAACGGGTGTTTGAATTTACTCCCCAAAACTGTTTATTTAATAGTCACCTCAAATTCTTTTGGGATTAAGGCGTGGATGTTGTTGTTGTTGTTGGAGTATTTAGGTAGCACTCAATATGAGATAGTACATTTGTCCCTCTACTGAGACCGAAGAGAATGATGTAGTTTTTAAGAAAAGTAGAATTATATGGTTTATAGTGAGTTGATAAAGTGAGAATAAATTAAGAACGAATTAGAGTCGCACAAATGTTACCAAATATGGTATGAGACAATAATAGAGGAACATCCAAAAATGAAAAAATGGGACAATTATAGGGGGACGAAGGGAGTATTGTTTAGTTCGGATAAAATAATTGAAATATTTTTAATCCCTAACTTTTAATTTAATTAAAAGTTATTTTTGCGCTAAATGAGACTAAAACATGGTTAAAATTTCAAAATAGGACTTCAAGTTTTAAATTTCCTAAATAAGACTATGTATTACATTTTTACTCATAATTTCAAAATCACATTTCCCCAATCCCTATGTCATCGATAGCTACACCTGCGATTGCAGCCCTCCTCTTCCGACTCGGCTGTCATGGATAAACACTACCTAGTGGACGGAGCATATTTTAAAAATTTATCTAAAAATAGGAAAATACTAGATTTCAAATTCGGGTTTTAATCAAAGATTGCTGAATGGGAAATCAAAAAATTGAAAAACATTGACCAAAATCGATCGCACCTCGACCGCCATCATCGGAGTTGTTGAGGTTTATTCCTTCAACTCGCAGGCCCAACATGTAACCTAGGGGTTTCGAATGGAAGATGGACAAGTAGATGGAGAACAATCAGGGAAATGGCTCAATAAAGAGTGTTTATTCACTGAATGATTACAGGTCGAAGGGTCGAACGTACAATGCTATGCTACGTACTGATACTATTGCTAGAGTACTAAAATGTGAACCCTTTACAGTGAAATAAATGCTACTATTTACACTGCCAATGGGTGGTTGGATGTGTTGACGTGACTGGTTGTGGACGGCATGATCCCAACCACCAAATCTTCTGCATTAAATGCGCTTCCCGCCAGGATCTTGGTTTCCCACCATGGGATGGGGACGTTCGTCCCCAAGGGCTTGGCTTTTGTCTCCTGCTGGAGTCTCGATCCACTTCTAAGGAGAAGGGACGTTTGTCCCATGCACTTGAGCTATCCTTGATCTATTCTTGATCTATCCTTGGCATCCTGCCACGAGGTGAGGACGTCTGTCCCCGTGTACCTTGAGGGAATCTTGGGTCTGGATGCCTGCTGACAATGGAGTACGTACGTCTCCTGACCTTTGGACCCTGGTACCGGCTGGTAGTAGGGTATGTACGTCCCCTAACCCTTGGGCCTGAAGCTTGGCCTTCTTCTTAGGCTTTGAAGAGGACGTTCGTAAGAGGTCCCTGTGGGCCTTCTGGGGACGTTCATAGGAGGCCCTTATAGGTTGATGGGTCGGCCCTTGTTAGGCCATTAACCCAACACAAGTTCCCCACTTATGATGTTCCAAGCGTGCTCGTGACATAAGGAAGTAGAAATGCCTCCGCCGTACCGCCCTAACCGACATCCCTGATGTGATGGTTGCTTTTCCGGCTGCTGCTCACGGGGCTCTAGGTGGCAGTTATGCGGCCGATTCAATTTCTGATGTAAAAGTAATCATTTCACGCATGTTCGTCTTCGCGCGACACGTGTCCCTGGGTATGCTCCTCGCCACGGCTTGTCTGTGGATTGGTCAATGGAGAGGCGTATCCTTCTATAAATATTGGGCCTTTTGTAGGGATTAGGGTTTCTAATTCCCTACCTTACTCGCCATTTGCTCTCAGAGTTCTACTTCAAGCAATCTCCGGTTCCCGTTCCGCTCTTTGAAGTTCGTCAGGTAATTGAATCCACTCTCTTCCCTTCCTCTGCTTCATCTTTCAGCATGGTCTGTTCTATGGAGATATCTTTCGAATCTGGTTCTGGGTCAGGCTCTTCTACCGGTTCGTCCGCTGGATCAGGCTCCAGTTCCCGTTCTTTGGGGGAGGCGAGCAGTTCCGGCCATTCTGGCGCCTCCGCCGTTGTGGGGCAGGTTGTGGTGGACATGGCTGCCCCTGGAGGTGTGGGAGCAGAAGTTGACATGGACATTGCCCACGGAGGTGACCCGATGGCGGCAGCACAACCAGATGGGGAGGCGGAGTGTCCCGCCGACTATGATTCCGGCAACGAGGCCGAGGATGGGGACGATTTGCAGGTGTTTGATCTAGGCGTTCATGTGGACGTCTCCCGCCATATTGTGCTGATTCATAATGTTTCTGGGATCCAACAGTCTTTCTCGCGCAGAGCTTTGAAGGAACTGCAGACCCTCCTTCCCCCGCCATTCATCTACAGCTTGCGTGGTGCAGATAACCTGTTCATGAGACGTCCGGGAATGATCATGGTACATATGGACTCTATCAAGGCCGGACTGCGCTTCCCCCTCCACCAAATTTACCTTGATTTCTTCCGTTTTTTCAACGTTGTCCCGACCTAGTTCATGCTAAATTCATATCGGCTCATCTCCGCTTTCATTGTCCATTGCCGGTTGGAAGGACTTGCCCCGAGCCTGGACCTCTTACACTACTTTTTTCAGGTCGCTCCCCAAAATGCCGATGGGTTCTTGAGTGTGGCCGCACGTCCCCACCAGAAGCTATTTGAGGGGCCCCGACTTCTATTCATGATTGGAAGAACCGCTTCTTCTTCCTCCGTTATCCGGATGAGCGGCTTCCCGTGAGGTGGAATGGCTACCCCCCCCCCCCCCCCAGATAAAACAGCCAGAGCCCTCGCCAGAATTGAATAAGCCATTGAGAAGTTGAAGCTGGACAGCGTCAAGAATAGGTACCACCCGTGATTCCTGGATTAACATTTGTCCGTATTTATCTGGTGGGCCCAGGCGGTCTAGTCGCTGAGGTGAGTGCCTTCGAGATTTGCGTCGCCCGGTTCTAATACTTCTTGTTTTTTTGTTTAAGGTCCTCCCTCCACTCAAGAGCCGATGGAAGATCAGCTTATGATGGCTCATCGCGAGGCCAAGGCAGCCAAGCAACGAGCTGCGCTGGCGAGTGCCCGAAGGGCCGATCCATCTTCTGAGGCCAATTCCTCCGCCGCTTCCCAAGTTGATAGGCGTGTTAGAGAAGCCGAGCGGCATCTTATCGCTGCTGTGACTGGGCAGAGCTCTGAGGCCCAACATGTTGAAACTGGCCCGGTTCTGGATGCGGAGCCGGTGGGTGTTGCCCCTCCCGTAGATGGGGTGAAAGATAAGGGGAAGAAGCCGGAGAGGCAACGTGTTGAGCCCTCCGGCCCAAAGGCCCCTAGTGTCATGCTGCCTCCCCCAGGTTGCCCGGTTCCTGAAGTTTGGAGCGATATGGCTCTTCAAGATGGGGTGGAGCTAGCGGCCCGCTCCTCAGGCGAGGCTGTTAATCATGCCCTTCTGCTGACCTTCGAGGTATGGCCCTACCACTTATGCTTCATTCCTTCTTCTTCTCTCTTTCTTTCCTTTCTCTCTCTCTCTCTCTATTTTTTTGTTGACCTTGATCTACTGTTCGTCTCTTCATGATTCCATGGTTTCCTCCTTGCAAGCTGGGCTGAGCCTGTTGCAGGCGGAGGCTGCTCGAGTGCATGATGTTGTCGAGACCAAAAGGAGAGCTGATGAATCTCTGAGGGAAGAACGGGAGGCCGTGCGGGCGAGACAGGCAGCTGCCTTGGCCGAGAAGACAAAGCTCCAGGCCGTCCGGGATCAAGCCCAAAGGGAGAGGCAAGATCTCCTTGCCAAGGTGGCCTTAGCGGAGAGATCTGGGATCTCCTTCGTCCCAGCTGATGTCCCTGTTCCGGCCTCCGAAGGTGAGGCCGCTCCTTGCAACGCTCTTACCCTGGTCCTTGATGTCACTGAGTTCAAGAAGACGCCCCAATTCCTCAAGGCCGCACACGACTACTGGGGGGCCGTGGGGGAGGTCTTCGAAGCTGAGCTGTGATCCGTGCCGCTTAAGAAGTGTCTAGAACATGGGGTGCAGCTCTGAGTGGTTGCTTGATCTCGCAGAAGATAGCTTCGCGAAGGGGTATTATCTAGGCATGAAGGGCCTTAAGCAGATCCTCCCCCGGGTTGGTTGTCCCCCCTTCAACGTGGATGACTATACAAAGGAGGATGAGCTCCGGCGAGTTGTGGCCAAGGTTGACCAGGATCAGAGATGAGCGGAGGCTGTGCAAAGAGGGGAGGCCCTTGAAGCCCCTACCCCCGATGTTAGTGATGCGGAGGAGGAGGTGCTTGATTCTCCCGCTCGCCGCTCCCCCGCGCATGGCTCCCTGTTCTTGTTTTTGTTTGCTTGTATGATCCGGACGATAGAGCCGAAGAATAAAGTCCTCTTTGTGGTCACTGGTTGTTCAATGATTGTTATTTGATCTTTCCTTGTCTGTCCGTGTCCTTATTTTCTCGTGTCTGAAACTTTTTGATGTTGGGAAGTTCGTCGGTTTCCCCTGCCCTTTTTCCTCTTCTTAGCCGATGGGTTGTACTACGTGACCCCCGCCGTCCGGGATTACGGCCCGATGGGTATGGTGACGTTCGTCTCCTCGTTTGTAAGGGAAAGGTCCCTGACACGTGCCATTGGATAGCGCAGACATCGAAGCGTCATTCCTGCCATACGATATACCAAACACGGCTCACCACGTGTCCTCCCTTGGTTTGGGGGAACCGGCAGTGAAGCCTATAAGTATCCCCATTTCCTGATGGAGTTATTGTGCTTCCTTCCTTAGCTGTTATTCTGCCAGATTGCTTTCTCTCTCTAAACCCCTTAGCTCTTCCCAGTAAGTCCTCATTTTTCTTCCGCACATTGCCATGGCCTCTTCTTCCCGTAGGCGTTCTGAGGGGTCGTCTGATGACAGTTGCTATTCTAGTGATGACCTATCGGTCTATAAGCATTGGATGTCGCCTATGTCTCCCCCCTA